AAAAAAAAAAAAAAAAAGAATATGTCTTTATAACATTTGATCACATCCACCCCTCACTCCACAGCGCTATTTCTCCTGACCCCCTTCTCCCCATATTCCCCATAACAACTTCGTTCTCTTTTATTTTTTAACTAATTGATTAATTAACTTATTTATTTATTTTGAGGCAGGATATTTCTACATAGCTCTTACTGTCCTGAAATTCACTATGTAGACCAGACTGGCTTTGAACTCACAGAGATCTACTTACCTCTGTCTCCCTAGTGCTTGGATTAAAGGCATGTGCCACAATGCTCAATCCATTTTCTTCTTTAAAAAAATGTATAACCCACTGAGCCCAGTGCTTCTCAATGCTCAGGGTCACATCCTTGAGGATAACTGATTCTCTGTCTCTGCTCCTCAGTGGCCATCCTCGGCCAATAGCTTCTCAGCTAGGAGCTTCTCCCCATCCATGCTGGCAATCTGACTGGCTTGATCTTTTGCAGGTCTTGTGCAGACAGTCGCAGGTGCTGTGAGTTCAGGGGTACCGCGGTTCCGTTGTTTCCAGAAGACGCTTTCTCCCAGCATCACCCCCAACCTTGCTCCTATAATCTCAACAGCCCCCTTCACTGATGTTCCTGGAGCCCTGGGGAGGAGGGGTGTGGTAAAGATGCCCCATTTCCAGCTGAGGACTCCAGTCACTCGCTCTCTGTACTCTGACTGGTTGTGGGTCTCTGTATCTGTCACCCAGGGCAAGCAGACGCTTCTTTGATGAGAGGCAAGAGCTGAACTGATCTATGGGTGTAAGGATACGTGTCTAGATGGCAGCTGGATACAACGGTGACTTCTTTATTTTATTTTTGGTGTGGGGTGCTGGAGATGGAACCCAGGGCCTCGGACAGGTGCTCTACCACGGAGCGACACCCCAGCCCCCATTGTTAAATGAGTTACAAACGGTAGTCATTTGATGGGCTGATGGGAAACCTGAGTGTGTGGGAGGCTTTGGGCCCAGCACTAGGGTTTTTCTATCCCCAGCCCCTAGGGCTTGACAGGGCAGGCTGCAGATGCTTGAGTTGTTTTCAGTTGTCAATCCGATAATTCCTTTCACCTGTGAAAACAACTGGCGCTCTAAGGAAGACCCTTTGACTTACTCCAGTGGCTCAAGCTCGGCCCGGAGGGAAGGGGTGGGGTGGGGGAACCACCCCTTAGTGTGGCTTCCTTCTTGGGTTTGATTCCGAGTGTCATTATGGATTTGAGTTAGAGCATCGAAGAGCTTGCCAAACCTCCCTTGTGTGGCTGAGCCAGGCGGTGAGTCTGGCCTGCTTGGGAAAGGACTCCCCTCGGCATCATGGACACAGGACTTCTTCTAGGGGAATGCTGCATTTGAGGTGCATTGTGGACAGGCTGGAGGAGTGTGAGCTGTCCCAGCCAAGATCCTGCAAAGGGCACACGGCAAGGTTGCTGGAGTGAGGCTGAGCTCCCCCACACCCCAGCAAGATAGCCTTCCAGAAGCACATACACCTCCCAGGGTTAATCTGGGAAGACATACAGAAGACGGGGTGTCCCTGGGGTCCTCAGGCCTCCACCAGGTTCTGGTGGGCGGGATTAAGACAGAACCGTCATGCCTTCCTGTGGCGCCTGACACCAGGCCCCAGAGCCAAATCAGTGACAGTGTCCGTGAGCCTTTGCTGAAGTCTGCTGACGTGTCTGACGTCAGGTGCACGATGTGGCAGCTTTGTTTGCCAATCTCTCTGCCTCACCAGAGCATTGGCAGGGAAGGGGCCAGTCACTGCGAGGTCTGAGTGGGATGGAGGTGACTGGATAAAAGAATGAGACCCCTTGTTCCACATCTAGTATCCTCCTATGAGTGAGTACATACCATATTTGTCTTTCTGAGTCTGGGTTACCTCACTCAGGATGATTTTTTCTAGATCCATCCATTTGCCTGCAAACCTC